CCGCCGCCGCCCCGCGCGCCCAGGCCGCGATCTGCCCGGGCCCCGCACGCCGTCGCGCGGGCTGCAAGAAAGTTTGCGGCTAGGCTGCTTGCGCCCGCGCTCGGCCTCGCCCGGGACCACGCCGCCACCATGAACAAGCTGTACATCGGCAACCTCAACGAGAGCGTGACCCCCGCCGACCTGGAGAAGGTGTTCGCCGAGCACAAGATCTCCTACAGCGGCCCGTTCCTGGTCAAGTCGGGCTACGCCTTCGTCGACTGCCCGGACGAGCACTGGGCCATGAAGGCCATCGAAACTTTCTCGGGTAAGCGCGCGGCCACCTCCCCGGGACGCGGACGGAGAGGCCTTGGGTCGGGGAGCCCGCCTGCCCCACGCGGGCCTCTCAGCCCTCGGACCCCGCTGCATCCTGGGGTGTAGGGCTGACCCCCCACGATCGCCCCCAAGACCCCCGAGATCGCCTCGCCCTTCCCCCGCTCTAAAAGAGGAGCTCGAGGTTGTCTTCCCTTCCTCCCCGCTCGACGGGCCGGGTGCCCCGCTTGGCGGCAGAGGGGGAGGTGTCCCAGACGCCCAGATCTGGGGGTTATTCCCACGTTCAGCTTTTCGCTGGCCTCCCTGGACGGTCCCTCAACTTGGACACCCCGAAGTCCTCTTCCCCGGTGTTAGGCCTTTCCGGTCCCCCCGGCCCTCCCCCCTCGCTCTTTTCCAGTCTCCCCGCCTTTTATGGGGTCGGCACCCCTCGGGCAGAGCCTGGGAAGCAGCGGCTCCCGCGTCCCGCCCTGGGTCTGGGGCTCGAGCCATTTTGATTTGAAAGTGGGGCGTGAGCGGGGTGGCGCGGCGGCGCGGGTCGCCATGCTGCTTCCGAGACGCCGCGGCCCGGGTCGGGGCGCGCGCTGCACCCGCCCGGGGACCCCGGCCCCTGGCCCCTCGCCCGTCCCGACAGGTGACCGCTCGCGGGCCAGAGCTCTTCGCTGGGTCTCCGTGGAAAAATAAAGTTTTGTTGTCCATCTCACCCACCCCGCTTTCCGAGAAACGGGGTCCCCCAGCTGTCCTTCCTCTACCTCGGGTAGCCGTGGAGGCCGGGCGTGCACACAAATGCCCTCGCGCGTTGTCTAAGTCGGGCTCGCAGAGCGACCCACACAATTCATTTCCATGATTAAAACAAAAACTACGCGAACAACGATTTTTAGTTGCCACCATTCCCAGAACAGCCTTTCTCCGTTGGCCTGCGGAACCACTGGCTGGATTCCTGGGACGAACTGGAATCCCAGGAACTCCGCTGTCTCTCCCCTTCCCCTTCCTCCACCTCAGTGCCTTGTATCCGTGCCTTTTTTTTTTTTTTTAAATCTTTAGGGAAAGTGGAACTACAAGGAAAACGCCTAGAAATTGAGCATTCGGTTCCCAAAAAACAAAGGTAAGAAAGAACCCTTCGGGGGCGTGGGGGTGTTTAGGGGTCCGTGGCATCTCCAGTGGAAGAAATCGTTCCCATCCTCAACTCCGGATGTTGGGGGCTGGGAAGGAAGATTGGCCAAGACCTTGTAATGGATGGTTTACTGCTTGGGGGAGGACCAGGGGCACAAAAGTTTGGGCCTACTAAAAGATGTGACTTGGAGAATTAAAGGGTCGAGGGAGGATCAATGGATCTAGAAACCTTAAGAGTTTACTCAAAAGTGTGGAGCCATTTTTATTGGGAAGCGTTAAATCTAGAGTTGAGATTCGTGGCCGGCCCTTTCGTGCAACTTCCTATCGGTTCTCATTTTTTACTCCCTCCTCTCTTAACCATAATTCCGAAGTGGATTTAGGGTGATCCTTAATCTATATCCCAAGGAGATGTGGATGGAGGCCCCCCTCTTCAGGAATCCTCTTACGTTAGGTGTTATATTTGTGTAATAGGCAAAGCCACCGTAAGTGTATTTAAATGTCTGTATTTCCCACCAGGCCTCCTGCCCCCCAGTCCGTGGCGTTTTACAAGGTCTTCCCAACTGGATTTTTCCAGAGAATATGCTGTGGCTGTCCCAGCGTTCCCGTGCCCCCCCACCCCCACTCCTTCAGCCATTGTTACAATGGACCATCTGGGGTGAGAGCTTTGTTCGGGCTGTGAGCTGGGGCTCTTTGGAGAGTCTAGAACTCTGGATGAATGGGGTGTGTGTATTCCCATATATCCTTTATCCTCTCCCAACAAAATGGGGTACCTCTATCAGGCTTGCCAAAAATTCCTGGTGGATTTCAGATCTTCAGGGAACTCAGTGTTTCTCCCTTAAAGACTTGAAACACATTGACATCGCGGTTTCCTGTCCAGTTCATTAGTTGTAGGCAGCCCCCAGAAATGTTTGGTCTCTTCAGTCCTTATGTCCACTTCGCAGTTGGTCTTCGTGGCAGCTAAGCATTTTCAGGGTGGCAAAGGCACCGGTGGCTGGTTGTGGGGTTTTTTGGGGGGTAACTAGGTCCTTTTAGACCTAGTAGAAAGTTTTAAGTGGAGGTCATATTTGGGTGGTTTGTCTGTACAATTTAAGTTAGTATGGCTTGTTACTATGTTTCTGAAGCTTGGAATCTAATCTCAAATATTTAAGATACTATTATTGGCAAGGTAATTAGAATTAGGAGTAAAAAGGCAATAAAATTCAAAGGGAGGAAGAAAGTATTTGGAAAAATTTTCTGTAGATGAAACTAAGAAATTCATTAATAGCAGTAGATTTGTTGAGTATGGGTATTTGAATTAAAAGCTGAATGTTAATGAGAAATACCTCTTTATAACTGGAATTGTGGTGTACATGAAGATTTTCTTTCGCTGTTGAGAATGGGTTAAGTTTTAAGGGGAATGAAATGAAAAGTAAAGAGATCACAATGTGGTGAAATGGAACTCACAACATTTATATTTAATTTTCATGGTACTCAGTATTTGTGGATCTTTTTCCTCAAGCCACTTGCTTTTAAGCCATTTCTGGGCCCCTTGTTCCCTCTTAAAATGCATTACTGAGGACTCTTTTGAGTTGGAATGGGGAGGGGGGGTCTTGGGAGAAGACTGGGGGAACGACCTCCCTTTCCACACCCATAGTAAATGAGATCTTTTGTGTGTTATTCCCTTTCTGATATATTTTTTGAGCTCAAACATTGATTCAGTTGTCCTTTTTTTTTTCTCTTTTTCTTTTTTTGGAGGGGACAAGGTGGTGGGGAGAAGGGACTTCATATATTTTTTTTTTTTAGCATGAATCAGTTTTTGAAAATTTAAAAACAGAGCATTTGTTTTCATTAAGTCAGTTTGGTCTATCATTTTGTGTGCTCTGAGGAAGCTTGTGTGTCTTTAGTCTGTGTCTGAAAGTGTTCCTGGACTTCTGACTGGCTTTTCTACACACAGAATGAGTAAACTAATTAGGGCTCACATTCTAAGCAAAATGAACTAAATTCATGTAGGTATTTTGTGTGTATGTATTCTTTGGTTTCCACTATTGAAATAGAAAATTTTTCTTGATGAAAGTTGGTTCCAGATGAGTTACGATTTAAATTTCTAAGAGTCTCATAGAATCTGGAAACCTTGGGGCTTGGGGAGATGGCTCAGTGGAATAAGCACTTCCCTGGCAAGTGCAAGGGCCTGAGTTCAATCCCTGGTTCTGGAAAAAAAAAAAAAGAGAGAACAGAATCTAGAAACCTTAATATTCCTGTTTTTTCTTTTTTTTTTTTTTTAAAGATGGAGGTAATCAAAGATGAGCTACACAGATTACCTCTGATCAGCTCTGATTTTAAAGTGTTAATAGATTTTGTTCTCATTTTAAAACCACTTTAATGCACAGTTTACATCTTCTTGAAGTCAAGTGACAACATTATTGTTAAGCCAATAATAGGAAACAATTTGAATTTTTAAAAAGGGTAACACATCTTCCCAAGCCCCTTCTTCTTAAGCATGTTGGAATTTGATTAAGAATGTAGACTTTTGGTTGACAATTTACATGTGTGTAGGTAATCAGGGTCCAGGGTTGGTACTGAGGAGAAAAGCCAAAAAAGCATTTTGGAATGTTCTGAGATTTGGATTTGTTGGCTTTCGAGACCTAGGGGTCTGGGCAAGAGAGTCAGTTGGGCCTAGTTTCTAGGGGAAATGGTTTTGTAAAGGAATCAGACTTGTGTCACACTTGGCCCCCGTGGTGTGGTGGATCTTTTTCTAGAAGACTGGGGTAGCAGATTTACTGTGAACTGGTGTCATCCAAATACAAAGTTGTTGTTCTTAAAAGTTGCTTTGCATTTTTCTTTTTTTTTCTTTTTTCTTTTTTCTTTTTTTTTTTAGGCGGAAC